TTTTATGAAGTCACAAGGAAGGGTCAAGAAGCGTACTTAGGCCCAATAAGACTTGATTCCAACTAGAGTAAATATTTAATATTGCCACAAATCTTTACATGTCATAGCAAATAGATGAATGAATGAATGAATGAATGAAGAGCCACAAGGTTGATTAATGTTGGAGGTGTCCCACAAGGCCGGTTTTTGACTGAACAGACAAAGGGCCTTTGAATATTAAGGTTAAAAGTAAGTCATATATATGCAGCAGTTTTAATTAGGGTTAAAATGTAAATTTCTGTCGAAAATTTTCACATGCCACAAATCTCTGCATGAATTGGACATCTTTAGTCATGGGAAAAATGACAAATATACCTTGTGTGATTGGGGGGGAAAAAAAAGATAAAGAGCCACAAGGTTGACTAATGTTTGGTTAACATAAGAGTTAGTTGAGGGATTGTATTTAATCCTAAATATAAGACCTCAATTAATTTTATTTGCTATGTTTTCTAAAATATCATTATTGATTATAAAAAGTTCCACCAAGGAGTATTCCAATACACATGGTTAAATAGGACAATTTAGGGAGGTCAACGTATATTTGTGAAAAGTAACTAATTTAATTAAGTTCCTTAATATTTCTAAATTAGTTATATAAATCTAATGTTAACGACTAGAGGTAGTATTATTGATAAAAAAAAATATGCTAAGCCAAAATAAAGCACTCAAAAACACCTAAGACACAACCTAACACAAAAAGACTCACCAGAAAAACAGAAAACTAAACAAATGCAAAGAAAATACAGTAGACAACAACAGGGGGGAAAAAAAACTGAAACAGCAAACTACTAACACTAGCAAAGCAGGATAGCAAAGACAAACACGCATGCTAAATAATCTCTAATTCACCTGCATAAATTTTCAAATCTCACAACATAGTACCTCCACGTTCACATGTAATTACCAAACATAGTCCCTAATAAAGCAATAATCAATCACTGTCGTTTCCAGGAATTGCTGCCATGTTGTTCGCCGACAGAATTACCCAGATTGTGAAGACATACATTGGCCTTTCATCATGGGAAATGAGGAATGATATTAATACCGCACAAGCTAGAGAACCTGAAATAACATCCCTTGATTTGCTTGTGAGAAAAGCCCGCGTCCTAACGGAAGTGTTTAACGGACAGAAACTATGGATATATCCCATAGAAGTGTTTAAATGTGTCTCGTCCCGGTCCAAATTGGATTTATGAGCTAAGGTTTGAGATTTTCAGTACCACGTATCAAACAACAATACTACTAGCAGAAATGGCTATAACGGGGTCATCTACGCGTGACCGCAATAAGTGAAACAATGCATTTCACTCCCTTTTTTTTTTTGGAAAAAAATCTGCTTTGGGTCAAGAAATCTTTTGGGTTGGAAACAAAAGAAGGGAGTGGGGGGACTGTGTCCAACATTAAAAAAACAAAAAAAGATAATAAAACAATTGAAAGTTTGAAACAGACTAGTCACCTCTGATGAAATATTGTTTAAATCCCTGTGACTGAGACAGTCATATTTAGTGTTTAAGAGTGTCTTGAATAGGATTGCTTCTAATAAGATGATACATGTGGCTAACAAAAAAATAATAATAAAATAAATAAAGATTTAAATACACTTTTAATAAAAAGGACACATTTAATTCTGATATATTAAAATATGACTTAAAAAAAATTAAAGATGCATGCTAAAATTTACAATGATTTGACTTTAAACCAATTGAATGTTCAAAATTTATTACTTTTATTATCTATAATTACAATTATTTTGCCTCTTATTCTTCCTCATCTTCCTTCCCATTCGGATTCAGAATGAGATTGAACTTCTTGTTGAGATGATAAGCATAAGTGGCAAGCCTTCCCAGGCAGTTCTTACACCCAGGAAGAGGCTCTCCGTCTCTATCCTTACCTCCACTTCTCCTCAACACCCTTTATTTTGAAAGTGTTAAAATTAAAGGCTAGGCCCCCCTTTTTTTAATCAACATCCTTTATTTTGAAGTGTTTTTTAATGAACATTTAATATTTTAAAATAATTTTAGCACCTGATGCCAAAAAATATTATCCAGTAGTACCTAGTATCTAACAAGCTGCACTTTGAACTATTTTTTCACTAGCACCTGGCATCCAGTACCATATATTATTTTTCTTGTAATAACATCTAATATCCTAAAATTAGTTTAGAATAATGTGTCCTTTTAGAATAATGTGTCCTTTTGAAAAAATATTGCATGTCCAACTTGCTAGATATTGAGTGCTACTGAAAAGTTATTTTAAAGTGTTAAATGCACCTAAACTCATTTTAGGATATGGGATGCTACTGAAAAATATTTCAGAGTTATAGATATTGATTTGAATAAAGAAGTTGTCAGCCTCCATTTTAAAAATACTGAGTGCTATGAGACAAATAGTTGAGAGTGAATCTTCCTAAATGTTGGGTACTACTAAAAAAACATTTTTTGATGTTAGACGCACTAAAAATTATTTAAAGATACATGATACTGCTGAAAAATTTAAAACAAAGGATGGAGAGCCTTATTTTTAGGTCAAAACGATATGGTATTGGAAGAGGTGTTTGGATGAAAACCAAACCATAGTTTTAAAAGTGCTTTTACGATTTACGAAATAAATATATGGAGAAATTTGTTTCGCTTTACAAAAAAGTGCTTTTAAGAAATACTTTTCAATATTGCTAAACATCCTCTGAGTAGAGGAGGATAGCCGGTTCCCTTACACCCACTGTTAGCACCTCGGGCTTTAAATAAAAAATTCGTGTTTCACCAAATTCCTTTTCCATAGAAAAATTAGTAAAGTTGAAATTTTTGACTGGAAGTGAATGGACAATACGCTTCCACGTAATTATTCACCAAATTGTCTAGTGTTTGTCAAAAAGATATTTGGATCTTATGCCAACGTAATTAATGCCCGTTAATTCCCAACGGTGGTTACTCATTCTTGTGCTGTAGCTAAAAAAAATTCATCATTTGCCCATTTGTAAGTTATGAATAGCTTACTGCTCGGAAAAGAACATATTCCTCCAGAATAATTAATCTGACAGTTCTTATAGTTTTATTAGATTTTGAATCAGGTCTTTATATTTTTATTTCTTTTTATTGGATCCTTATAGTTTATTTAATTAAAGAAATCGATCCTTCCATCAATAATTTCCCCACACGCCGTTAAGTATGATGACACCGGATGATGTGGCATGTGAGACGCTAGAGATTTACAAATAATGCATGCTTTCTCTCTCCCCCCATCTTGTAGCTCTCTCTCATCTTTCACAGCTGCTTCTTGAACTAGTTCTACTTCCCATATCACTCGTCCTCTGCGATCTCCATCACAACGCTTGCTTCTCCCGCATCTTAGTCCCCCGCTTCGCTCTCTATGAAAAATAGGATTAGGGTGTATACTCACTTTGCATGGAGCTTCTTGTTCTCCTCCATCTAACTCATAGTATCTTGGTCCACCCTTGACTTGCAATAGTTACCGTCTTACCAACACAGTGCTTAGAAAATTGTAAAACATTAGTGAATTTAGCAATAATACACAATAAGATGGTTTCACAACAACAGAGTATGTGGGCAAGGCAATCAGGCAAATTAATACAATGAATTGGTACTTCAATCTCAAAAACACTGCTTCAAAATATAAGAAAAAAAGTCTATTTCTTATATGACATGCAGTGATTGCAAGAAGCCAAAAAGAACAAAAAAACAAAGCTTGCCAATGGCTGCTCTGTTTTTCACTAGGTACTCAACCCTTTGTTTTCTGATAAGAGAGGCACACACAAAGCTTACCCAAATACAAGGCTTATTGCATACATGGGGAATAAAGATTGGAGAGATAAGAGGAGTAGACAGAGGACATGGGGTGGATTGGTGAAGACTGGAGAGGACGAGCGGTGCTGTGGTGATGAGAAGTAGAACTTGTTAAAAATAGAGCCCCGAAAGATGAGAGAGAGCCACGCGGGGCGGGGGAGAAAGAGAACGCAAATGTTATTTGTCCTTGTGCACGGTCTTCAATGCTGTGTCATCTTCTGTCATTAATGTTTAACGGTAAGAAGGAAAAGTATCAACGGAAGGATTGATTTATTTAATTAAATAAACCATGAGGATCTAATAAAAAGAAATAAAAATATAGGGACGTGATTCAAAATCTAATAAAATTATGGGAAAATGACATATAAAGAAACCTGAAATTATAAAATGCCAAAATGAGAAGCTAATCAAATGTATTACCAGATAGGGAAGTGTTGCCTGATTTGGGATTATGCAAATGTTACATAATTACGAAACAGCCCCTCATACGCAAACAGAAAAAGTGACCGGTGGAAGTGTGCAAGTTGTGGCGGGAGTTGGAGGAAAAACTTGGGAGGGACCATGAATGTGGGAGCATGAACATGCGAAGCAACAATTGAACGACGGAAGCGAGGTTAGTATTCAGTGACTATATTGTTCGCCTCTGTCTTTTGTCCCTCTCCTTTATGCGCCGGTTAATTTTCCTCTTCCCGTTGGATGGCAATGTCGTCGATGTGGGGATGGTTTTGAGGTGGAGAGGGTGGCGAAGCATAGAGACGCGTGGGTATATAGAAAGCGTGGGGAAGGACGGTGATCAGAGGGTGAATGCACAGGGAAGGAAAAACACTGAGGGAAAGGGGTTTGATGGTGTCACAAGTAGGTTAGAGTGATTAGTGTCAGATAAAGGGACAATGTTGGAGGGAGATTCGAATAATGGAGTGGATTGATTCTGAGAAAATGAAGCATTAGTGTGGACAGGAAAGAAATGAGTGTTTTGTTGCAAATTATAAGCATGAATGTGTCAAACCCTAAGTTGGTCGTGTAAGTTGATGATGATGGTATTAAGTCATATAATCATTCGACTTCTGTTATCAGTGCAGGTAATGAAGATAAATGAATTTCGAAGCTGGGTCATCTTGTGGGAAGGAGCTGTTCTGTTATTTTCATGTGGGGGGGAAATTTATGACAAATGATAAAGGTGAAGTGAGATATAATGAAGGTGACATAAGGTTAAGAAGCATTAAGGATGGGCTGACACTTGATGAATTGAGGCTAATGATATCTAAGTGGATTGGTGGTGATGGAAGAAATTATGACATTAAGTACACAGTGGCCTTTGATGAGAAGACATTGATTGACCTTCATGACAATGCTGAAATGTATAACCTCTTTCAATACAATGGGAACAGCGGTCATGTGTATGTGGCCGAAAAAAGACAAATGGGTCCCCAACCAAGGGACAATGTAGAAATGTAAGTGGAAGTTTGTCCTAACTATTTGTTGTCATTTATGAATTTGTTCTTGTCATTTGTGTTAACGAGTCTTGTCATTATGAATGCAAAACAGAGAGATTCATGGGCATGTCACAGCAAACGGAACTGGATGCGTCTCCCATTAGTTTTTATTGTGATTATGGCTGGCTCAGTGAAGAAATGCTCGTGAATGTGACAATGATAAAATAAGTGGGCCCCCTAATGTGGATAAATCTATCGAAGCTGAAGATACGGATGGTAGTGAGATGGTTCATGCGGAATGGAGGGGACTTTTAACAGGAGTGGGCCAATGTTTTCCTAGTACAGATGTATTTCAGGTGTTTGTATATAAGTTTGCATTTACAAACAATTTTGTGGCCAAGTATATGAGGAATAGCAAAGAATTCATGTCGATGAGGTGTAAAGTTGAGGGTTGTCCATGGAAGCTATGTGCAAATCATGTGGGGAAGAGTTGTGATGTGCTACGAGTGACGACATTTATAAACCGGCATGTTCATTCTGCCCAAGATAGCTTAGACGTGATGCATAGTGGAAGAGCTAGTTTGAACTCATCAATAATAATTGATGAGATGAGGGATCATGCAGACAATCACACTTCTGAGATAAGGAAGAGGTTGAAACGAGAGTATGGGATTGATCTAACATATAAACAGGCTTATAGAGCAAGAGAGAAGTCATTGGAAGACATATATGGCAGGCCTGAACAATCATACATGCTCATACCATGGGTATGTGAAAGGATAAAGGAAACAGATGAAAAATCAGTGGCTAAATGGACTGCTATTGGGAACTGGTTTGAGCTTGTTTTCATTGCCTACGGGCATGCATTGAGGGTTTCTTGGGTGGCGCGAGGCATATTATGTATGTTGATGGAACTCACTTAAGCGGACCATACAAGGGGACAATGTTGTCAGCTTCAGCTTATGATGCAAATAACGAGCTGCTGCCGTTTGCAATTGCAATTGTAAAGGGAGAAACACTAGATGACTGGACGTGGTTTTTCTATATGATAAAAAAAATCCTGGGTTCTGTGGAAGTAACGATTGTATCAGATCGACACAATGCTATCATCGGAGGAGTGGCATCAATCTTTGGGGGTCAAAGGCATGCCTTTTGTTATAGACACATCAAGGAGAATTTTAGTTCAGAAGTTATGAAAATGAATAAGGGGCAAACAAGGACAAATGGCCGATCAAAGGAGGATGCACTATATTTATTGGATAAAATTGCATACGCAAGGACGGATGAGAAATTTGAGGCAGCAATGGATGACATGAGATCCTTTTCTCCAAGGCTATTTGATTGGCTTATTCATCATGGGGATGTAGATAGGTGGGCTAAAAGCAGGTTCCCATATAAAAGATGGGACAATATTACAAGTAATATAGCAGAATCATTCAATGCATGGATGGTGAATGAGAGAAAGCATACTGTACCCCAATTGATCTATGAGCACCGAGATAAAGTTGCAAGAAAGCTGCATGCCTCCTATGTGGCTATGACCAAATGGAAGAATTGCGTTGGTCCAAATATAGAGAGTAAGGTGCTGGATATGGTGGTTGGGTTTGACCATATGTATGCTGAAAATTATGGTGGGGGAAGAGTGAAGGTGACAACATCACGTGGAGACCATCGGGTTGATCTTGGACTACACCAATGCAGTTGCAGATCTTGGCAAATGACGGGGATCCCTTGTTCCCATGCTTGTGCTGCCATCAAGATTGTGCACGGCAATGTTTATGATTATATTGATAATTGCTATAAAAAGTCATCACAAGAAAAGATTTATGCTCGCAGTATGATTCTTGTGGTAACAACAGACATGCCTCACCCAAATGACTACTATAGAATAGAAAATGTCAGTGAGCAAGTTTTCTTGCTACCTCCCATGACATCCGACCACCAGGAAGGCCAAAAGTAAACAGGGATGAATCACAGTTCCAGAACAAACGGATATACCACTGTGGAAGATGCCACCAGCCTGGACACACAAGGAGGAATTGCAGAAATCCTAACCCATCATGAAGTTTCGAGTACAGTGGGGATGGGTCATTTTTTGGTGTACATAGTTGTATGCTCCGCCCTTGTCAACTTTTTTGGGACTGGGGTTGTAGTTAGGAGCTAGGTGGAGACATTTTTTTGTAAGTAAGCTGATAGAAATTTCAGTGATAAGGAGCATTAAGTGTGGCTAGTATCTTAATGTCCACTTGTTGTTGAATACATGAAAGGAAGTTACTGTTATGGGGATGTTAGCTTTTGTTAATGGCGCATTACTTGTTGTCATTTTTATATTTTTTCTGGTCATTGGCAGTGATGCTATCAGCATAAGCTGACAGCCGTGTTGAACTAATGTTGTAAAATCAGACCAGGTTATCCTTATCATTATCGTTGTCATATTCGCTTCACTTGGTGTCATTTTTAAATTTGTTCTGGTCATTGGCAGTGATTCTATCAGCATAAGCTGACAGTCGTGTTGAACTGATGTTGTAAAATCAGACCAGGTTATCCTTATCATTATCGTTGTCATATTCGCTTCACTTGGTGTCATTTTTAAATTTGTTCTGGTCATTGGCAGTGATGCTATCAGCATAAGCTGACAGTCGTGTTGAACTGATGTTGTAAAATCAAACCAGGTTATCCTTATCATTATCGCTCTTATATTCGCTTCACTTGGTGTCATTTTCTGTTGGATACCAACAGGATATATTGAAGTAAAATTTAGTGACCTGAACAAAAAATGGAAACCAATAGCACATGTCCAATGGGGTTGTTTTCATCATCTGTTTTTGTGGTTAAACCCAGATTCATTCATGTCACTGGGGAATAAATTGGCATCATGGATCTCAACTATCATACATTTATGGACACCAATCTCTGTTAACCATAACAATACACAGTAAATTTTTGGTCAGCCTACAATGCACATTACATACAACAATCTAACAGAGGACAAGTGAATTATGACCCTAACATCGAGACACCTAAGACCACACCTTTTCTTGGACTTTGTGCTCTTGGTTGGTTGTGGTTGTCGAATAAGGGCCAATGCCTCGTCACGTTTTTCATTCTGTTCATGATTCACCAACCACCATGTCAGGTCACGACGAAAGCCAGCAACTTCTTCCTCTGTGTAGGTAAGGGTCACACCAGGTTCCCATCTTCTCAGCCACATCATGCAGTGCACCCCACAATCCTTCTTGTGGACGCAACAATATCAGCACAGTTAGTTAACACATCTGACATGTGCATTTACCACACAGAAATCGAATTTGACAAAACTGACAGGTTATTCTGCTGGGGAACTTCTGCAAATATCATGGGAGACGTTGGCTTTTTCCCAACCAATCCTGGCTTGACCAAGTCCAGTATAATATTGAACCTCATCCTCTGCAACAAGATTCAGGACCAACATAGAAAGTTTAATGATTTTCCAAGTTCAAAAACTAGGGTAAAGATAATGAGTTTTTTCTTACACAGTCATCCACAGCCATTTCCACTGGGTCTTTGATGACAACCTTCTTCTTCTGCTTTCTGTCCTTGGTTCCGAAATGGTTCCTCATGGAGTCTATTACGTGGAAATCCAATGTGCTAGGCTGAATGGCAACGCAAAACCAGTGTTGGCCAACAAGAGTCAGACCAATTATGAAATCACATTCAGCTAAGTTGTAGCCAAGGAACTCAGGAAGAAAGAGCTTCTTATATTTTTGGGCTTTCCAGGTTGGATCATGTGCCATCATGTTCTGCATGACATGAAATTGTTAATCCATTAACAGAGAACAAGTCATTTCCAATTCAATTGCTGTCATTGGTATTTGCATTTGGAATTATGCAACCTCACCATGAAATCAACATCGAAAATGTGCCTCTTCCCTGGCCCCAACTCTGCCTTCATGTCCTCCATCACTGCCTTGCACACCAAATTAAGCACCTACAGAACACAAGTGAAAACGTCATTCTGATACAATAATCTCACCAAACATTATCAAACATAATCATGGGTGCAGGGACAGAGCATTCTAAAATACCCTGTTATTTACTCTGTTCACTCCACCCAGGGAAAACAGCTGTTGTCGGTCTATATCTTCATCAAACATTTTGATGACAGTCCTGCAAACATTGTCAGATGTCAGTGACAGAAAGTATGGTGTTGGGGACATCAATACTTGTCATCCCCATGTATTTTATTGTCATTTTCAATTCTATTGCTGTCATTGTCAGGGCACACTGTGTCATTTAAAAACAAAACGCTAGCTAGGGATATACTTACATATTCCCCTCTTCCTCTCCCTTGGGTCTACGGGATATTAAAGTGAAAAAGATGTCCCTTTCCTCCTTTGGCCTCTTCGTCCTCGGAGCTGCCTTGAATTCTATCCACGGAGATTTAATTGTGGAACTCTTTGCCCTTGTTGACCTCCTAAGGTCAATCGATTTTTCAGGCCCTCCTTCCTCCCCACTGTCACTGCTCACCCATTCGCGATCCAACAGCAAAGGAACATTGGTAGGGGTCATTGTCAGTACATGTGTATCTTCCTCACCCTCATCATCTGAATCCCGAACCTCCTTATCATCATCTTCCGGCCTCCTCAACCACATAATCATGACTGACTTCCATGTCATCATGGTCATCTTCCTCCTCATCAACCACATGACCTCCTTCCCTGTCATCATGGTCATCTTCCTCCTCATCCTCATCATCGTCATCATCACCTCCATGACCATCACGGTCACCCTCTTCTTCCACCTCCTCAACCATGTAATCATCACTGACTTCCCTGTCATGAAGGTCATGTTGTTCTTCATCCTCATCCTCATCCTTCTCATCATCTCCTTTGCTGGTTTCATCCTCATCAAGTTCCTCATCTGCACTTCCCGCTGCAACCTCTCTTGCAATCTCCTCCACCACTCGGTCAACATCATCAGCTTCTTCAGCATCGTTACCAGCTGCATCACCAACTGTTTCAACCCCTTCTTTAGCAGTGGCATTCTCATTCCCCATCCCCTTAACTTTGGCGTTCAATCCAATCTGCAGTTTGAGTAGCTCATCATCAAGAGCCTTCATTAACGTCCTCTGGCTTTCTTCAAGCTTCTTCACAAAACGAGCCCTCAACTCCTTCAATGCCTGCATACACAGTAAATGAAGATATCAAAAAAATTGTTCACTGTTATCGAATGCCAGTATCTCAAGTCTTGTCATCTCAAGTATCAACCTTGCTAATAGACTGACTTAAACTCAGGTCACGTATATTTTCTAAGTTCCCACATACCGGATCTAAAGACTGCAGAATTGGACTGTCCTCATGTCCTGCTGAGTATACCTCGCTGCCACTGCTTCCATGCAATATTCCCATGCTGCTACCTCTCTCTTTCTCCACCCTCTCCTTTATCTTCTCCTCGGTCCAATATTCAATGGCGCTTGTTGAACCCCGGTCAACAGACAATCCCAGCGGGAAACGCTCAGCAAAATACAGCTGCAAAACCAAATAAAGATAGGTCACACTTCTGCAACAATAACATAAAACAAAAATATAGTGAACCATAAGAAAAATATTGACTTACCAGCAGCAAATAAAGACACCCTCCAACATTGCAGGTTCCTTTCTTCTTCTTCTTTGTCATCTTCACAAAGTCTCCCATTTCCTTCCACAGGTTCTTGATTATGTACGTTGACCAATCATATTTCCCAAACCCATCCATCGTGTGACGCATCACTTTCAACAAACGTATATGTACAGTTGTGCTTGACCCAGGACATAAAAAAGCTCCAACTGTATAAAGCATAAATAGGAACTCAAAATTGTCGCTTTCTTCCCCAGATAATATCCTCTTCAGTATCTGGGTAAATGGAACCTTCCAATAAGTGTCCTTTAACCTCTTGTATTTCGGG